TAATTAATATACTTAATATTTCATCATAACCTTTCCAAACACTTACAGATGTTGCTTACTGCTTATTATATTACATACTACAAACAAATCACATGCTGTCTGTGAAAGATCAGAAAAAAAAATTTGCATTGAAGATGATGTAAAAACCAACAGACTGTTTGATTGTAGCATGTAGCCATGGTGAAACGGTAAGCACCAAGTAAGCTGAAAAGCGAAATACACAAACTGATGAAAAGAGAGAGAATAAAGCCCAACAATTAAACTAGTCATTTCAAACCTGCTACATAAAAACAAAAACTATACTGTCAAAAACATTTTTTTCCAAATGATATTAAGAAGCATGCATTCAATGTACAAGAGCTTATCCATAAGTGAATCATGTTTATGCCCAGAATGATGCACAATTTCAATACATCACAGTTACACTGGACTTTGCCTCAGAGAGGTGTCAGGTATCAGAAGCAGCTGCAGAAATACTACAAGTGATGTGCTCACCAGCCAGCTTATCACAGTAATCATTTGGCTGTGGCTTTCTGAAGAGCGTTGTGCCCTGCAGAAGGCAAGATCTGTGCCCAGGCATGTCCGATCCACGCACCTGCAGATCTGGCCTATGGGGTGAGTCGGTGCAGTGCTTCTGATCACATCCTGTTTATTCTTTTAAGTCTGAAAAGGGCTCAGACAAAAACAGTTCTGTGTTAAAAAATATTCCAAATGGCATCATCTGTAATAATAGTAATAAATAGTTATGTTGACTTCTAACGCCATGTTAGCAACTAGGGCTATAGTCATAGTCAGAGTATAGGAGTATTAAAACAGAGTAAATAACTCAAATGGTAAAAATTTCATAAGTATAAAGTATTATGAATCAGTTAAAACCTAAATAAGATGCTTAAGCCTCTGGCTTGACTTTACTCCATATAGCTTTTAAAAAAATCAGTAAAACGGTACCTTTGCCACAGAGAGTTCCAAAGAATGACAATACAATAAAATGTGTTATACAGTTAAAGAAATTCTTGCATGTAAGACATACAGGTGAAGCTTCACCTGAAAATAAAACAGTGAGTAGCCTAGTTTGCCCCATATGAGACTGTGTATAAATGATTCAAACCCAACAGGGGGCAGTGTGTGGCTCAGTGGCCTCAGCATGTTTGCGGGTCCTTGAGCAAGGCCCTTAACCCCCAGCTCCCTGGGCGCCCCAACAGGTGGCTGCCCTTTGCAGACATCTTGCTCTACAAAGAGCAACTTGAGGGAGGCGTAAAAAAGAATTTCCCCATGGGGATAATAGAGGATCGATTATTGTTATTAATCGAAAGATTGTCATCTTACCGATACTTGAGCTGATTTCATAAAGTTCATCATTCATGTGTTCATCCCATTCAGCTTGCTATATTTTAATTATATCAGAAACGAGTAGAGATTCAGAATCTGAAGGTGGTACTAAACACTACCATATACACTCACCTAAAGGATTATTAGGAACATGGTGTTTGACCCCCTTTCGCCTTCAGAACTGCCTTAATTCTACGTGGCATTGATTCAACAAGGTGCTGAAAGCATTCTTTAGAAATGTTGGC